CAAGCTCCTGGCTGATGGATGCCCAGAGACACAGGAGCTCCTCACACACACAGCCCACATGTGCTCTCTGGACAGAGGGAGACCGAATCACAGCAGCTCAGGGCTGGTAGGATGGAATCTGAGCGATTATCCTGTCCCAGACCCTCATTTTACCAAAACGAATCTGAAGGCTTGGTTTAACCTTGACCGTTACCTGTCCCCACACACCTGAACACTGCCTGAGTGCATTTTAGCAAAGCTTTGGATTTAAATGCCCGATGCTGCTTCTGTGCTTTCCTGCTGATGGGCCCCTTCAGCCTCGCCAGCCTTGGAGGTTGGGGAAACTGAGGCATAGAAGCAGGCAGGAGGTAGACTGAGCAAGTGCAGCAGTAGGGGGCAGGGTCTAGCCTCTGAGCTTTCCGGTACCCCTGCCCTCCCTCTCAGTCCCATATTTCTAGCTCTGCCAGGCCTAGGTGGGGCAGGATTTGCTGGGGAGTGTTCCCGACAACACAAGGGTTCACCAAGGCAAGAGGAAGGCCTGGCTTCTTTTCTTTTGTCTTTTGTCCCCTGGCTTCCATTAGAAAGCAAAGGGGCTAGAGGCTGGATACCTGAGTGTATGTACTCTGGGGCTGGAGCCAGTGGCCTGAATTATAGAGGCATCTAGAAGCAGAGTTGGTACAGGTGACTCGAGGTAGAGGAAAGAAGGGTGAGTTCAGAGCAGGACTGAGCAAAGCAGGAAGCGGGTGGAGCTGTTCCCCAGGCGGCAGGCAGATAGAGGGCCAAGGGGCGGGCCTGCCTCCAGTCCAAAGAAGGGACAGTAGAACAGAAATTCAGGGAAAACGAAGCTTAAATAATTACCAGGAAAAGTCACTGGAAGAGAGTCAAGTGTTTTCTTAGTCCCTAAGGAACTTCAGTCTTCAGAGAATTTGGAGAGGGGGAATAAATCAAGATCCTTTTCCAAGGCAGGGTGGCTAGTGATTCACTAGCTGCTGAGGAAGGCCCTGGAAGGCCCTCCCCTCAGCTCCTGCCTCTCCCTAGTGAGCAAACCCAGTTCATCTGGGGTGAGCGGAAAGGGCCCTGGGTAAGAAGCCTGGAGGCCCGGATTTCATCCCTATCTCTGCCTCCTTTAAATCTGGCGACCTAAGGCAAGCCTCCTATGCCCCAGGCCTTGGTCTCCTGCAAAATAAAGGAGTGGTAAGTCATGAACTCTCTGAGCCCTGGTTTTCTCATCTGAGGATTGGGGATGTTAATAAATCACGTTTCATCAAATCTAAGAATCGATATCTTCAATTGTATGATGCACCACTATTTCATGTACATTCAGAAAAAACTACCTAAGTATCACATGCCATCGATTATAAGACACATTCTGATTTCCGCGATGCTGAAACGTACCTCCTAGCATCAGTGAATATGATACTCATTTCACAAGCATCTTCCAAGAATTAAATGCGATAACATAAGTATTTAGTGCCTGGTACAATGCAAGTACTCAATAGATTTCAGGTATTTTTATGGTTCAGGGTGAAGCAGGGAAGGAACCAGGCCAAGGGGATGGGTCTGAAGCCCACCCCCATCCACCCGGCAGGGTGCCACCCCAGGGACTCCAGGTCCAGCCCCAGCAGGGGGCACAGGGAAAGCAGCCATGCAGCCCCTTTTAGGAAGCCACAAGAGAACAAAGGGCCCCATCTGTGCCCCGGAAGTCAGCCTAATCTCCAGGATGAATGTGTTTTCATTTCTCAGAAGTTCCTGTTAGAGTATGCCGAAGTGTTTTTCCCTTTACAATCCAGGCAAACAAGGCAGGTTTACTTTGGGTGACCTTCTACCCACCACCCAGAGCCTACCTGCCGAGTGTAAATACCCAGCCTCGCACCCTTCTGGAGGCTCTGGGCGGGAGCCTGGAACATCGGAGTGCCAAGCCTCCTAAGGAAGCAGGTGCTTCGCCCCTTCCCACCTCCACTCTCCAACAAGACCTGTGCTGGTATAGACACGTTTAGAAGGTCATTGGAGAGGACAGGACCCTCTGCGTCATTAACACATCTCCCATTTTATTGATGTGAAAACTGAGGCCCACAGAAGGACAGTGACTCTCCAGAGGTATGAAAGCGTGGCCATCCCCATCCAAGCCCCCACCCCCTCCACCCTCAGATATACACACACACCATCCCTGCTCACAGCACAGCCGGACAAGGAGCCCCTCTCTCCACCTGACCTTCAGGGTCTGGGACAGGCAGGAAGCTTATCTCTGTCCTTTCTCTCTGGTGCGTCATTGCCTGGGATGGGATGTCTTTATGCATTTCGTTTACCATCTGAAACGGGCTGGAGAGCAACAACCAGATGTTCCTATGCCCGTAACGGAAGGGGCTACAGTCTGTGCTTTTCTTGACCTGGACTGCAGGTGTTTGCAGAACCAATTTTGGCCTCCTTCCCCTGACCCTTCAGATGCAGAGAAGGGGCCTGAGAGGGGCTGGGCTGTGGGGCCAGGTCCAGGGACTGGTAGGGAGGGCGCAGACCCTCCCTATTAGGAGACACCCCCAAACCTCAGACCCAGTGAGTTGTCTAATTTCCTCTCCCCAAAAATCGGTAAGAGAAGATACAGAAAGGACACACAGCTACAGAAGGCTTCGGGTGGCCCCTCCAACCTGAGCTAGCACCACTCTCTTCAGTACTTGAAAAGAACAGAGCCTCGAGCCTCCTATGATCATACGCATCAGGTTGGTGGAGGGCACCGGGGTTTCACGTTCGTCCCTCTTGCTCCCACACCAATGCTTGCCTCTCCCACTCTTTCTGTTCTACTAACTGTTCCCTCTGGCTGCAGTCCTTTTCCCTCCACTGTGCCCTCTTTTACCGTTCAGTCCAGGCCTGCGTTCTCACCTCACACATCCTGTCTTCAGAGAGGGCTCCCTTCCCCACTCAGTTGGATCACACTGGTTTATTTCCTTCATGGTCCTCCCACTATCTGAAACCATTTTCTTCCATTTTTTCTACCCATTCTTCCCTCATCGACTGTGGAAAAATTCTTAATCACCGCTATATCTCCAGTACCGGGGCTGTTTATCACGCTCAGTAATACTTGCGGAACATGTGACTAAATTCCCTGCCGTACTCATCCTTATAGGACTTCGCCATCCCCTCGACCCGGGGAAAAAGCAAGATCACGCTCCTACTATGTGCCAGGCTCTGCAGTGCTCATCCCCTCTCTTCTCTCCTCCCCCCGCCCCCTCTGCCACCCCCAACCCTCGGGATTTCTCCCGGGAGAGCCTGCCTCTCAGACTCCACGGGAGGTACCGGAACCAGATTGTCTCCCCAGGATTATTTCCAATGGTTTCCTGGGGTGTTCACCTGAGTAAGAATCAGGAAAGAGAGGACACTCTAATCCTATTTACCTAAAACTATATAATCTTCCCCAATCATTTAAATGGTGCCTCTGTCTCCAATTACAGAGCCGGCTGGGAGGAACACACACACAATTTCCAGCCAACCTCAGGCAGAGGACAGTTTTCTTCCTCCTGGGGGCCTGCAGGGACTCCAAGCTTGGGGACCGGGACCCCAGACACCTGCTACTTCAAACTGACCTGCCACAGACTGGTGTGTTAGCCCTGCCAGAGACTATGCACCTCCTCCTGGAAAAGGATCGGCCACATTCTCAGTGCTGGAATGTTCCCCAGGTGGCCAGATGTGAGGCATGTGGGGAACACGCCCAGGGTCTCAGCACCCTAATTCTACCTGTCACTGTTTTGAGAGTCTGCTGATTGCTTTTGGGCCCACCTAGAATGTGGGCTATATTCTCAGCTTCTCAGAAGCAAACTCTTCAGGAAGCTTGGGCACTAATAGTCATGTGACAGCCTGGAGGGTCAGAACCTTATTCTCTAGAACTCTGTCAACTGGGTCATGAGATGGAGGGAAAGCCACGCGCCTGCCTACCTGCCCCCAGGCGAGCAAGCAGCTTCTATCTCTGCCTCACCGTGTGTGCCCACCTTGGCACGGAGAGAGAGAGCAATTTCCGTGACACTCTGGCTTAACCGCAATGACATCTCTGCTTCTTAAAGGCTTTTTGGTTCCTGAGCTAATTAAAAGCCCCAGACTGAGAGGACACACTTAATCCTATTAATGACTTCTGGGCAGGAACCAGTGCGCTCAGCCCTCGGAAGGAGTGCCTTTCTCATTCCCTCCATTTGTTCAGGTGCCTGGTGATTGTTTATCAGCTTTTACAAGAGATTAAGCTGAACTCCCGAGCAGGCCACTTAGGTACTGGTTCCAGGGGGTCTGGGAGTGTTCGGTGACCCTGGGGTGTGCAGACAGCCACACCTGGCAAGCTCCAGGGCTCTGCTGTTCTTCAATGTCTTGCTCTTACGAGCCGTTAGAGGGACTGGATGACTGATGAGGAGTACTCACCTCATTTCTGCTGTTCACTGCCCCCTTTCACACACAAAAAACCTGGATACGGTCCTTGCCCTGAAGGATCTCAGAGTCCGGTGGGGTCAGAGACATGTGAGCAAACGGTGACAGTAACACATTAGACTCACCACAGAGGAGGTAAGCACACTGGGTCCCTCGAGCGTATAGGATGCTAACTGCTCCAGCCTGCAGACCAGAGAAGTCTCCCTGGAGGAGGAGACATGTGAACAGATCTCCACCAAGAGATCTGTTGAGGGGCCCATGAGATAGAATTGCCCAACTTTGGATTTGGTTCAGGCTCTAGCATAAGGCTGGACAAATGGAAATAACTCAGCTCCCTCATCAATTTATGGGACAGTGGTTGGCAAAGCCTCGACAAGATGCCGAGGTCCCAGGAACACAGTTATTGGTTCCAGGATAATTTTGCTTCAAACCCCTACCTTGATCTTCAGAGAACAGAGACATTGAACAAGGAAGATCAGCTTGCCGTTGTCTCTTTAAAAGAGGAGGGACCATTCCTCAGGACCCTCCCTCTTCTCATTAATATGAAATTTATCGTGAATATTGATGTGGGGGCGTGGCGCCTCGGCCAGCTGGGCTAACCAGCCAGGGGTTCCCGGTTTCACAGAGAGGAAAGTGACAGAAGCTGTGCAGAGGGAGACGCAGAGAGAGCAGAGCGCCGGGCAGCCACCCAGTCTCGGGGGAGCGCTTAGCTCCCCCACCCCCGGCTGCCACCCTGTCCGGGGGGCTCCTCAAGCCCTCAGCCCCACTCCCAGGCTCCCCATGGAAGCCAGCTGTTCCCCGGGAGGAGCCGGAGGAGGAGGAGTCGGCTAAATGCTCGCGGTGAGCCCGGGGCCCCTGAGCCCAGCCTGCTCCGCGCCGCTGCCCTAAGGCCCCGCGCCCCCGGCGCCCCCTACCCGGGGCCGCGCCGCCTCTGCCCGCCCCTCCCCGGGGCTTTGCCCCGGACCTGCCCCCGCCCGCTAGCCTGCGCTCAGGCAGGAGCTCTGGGCCGGGCGCGCCGCCGCCCTGGAGTGAGGGAAGCCCAGGCGAAGGGGGTCTCTGGAGCCGGCCGCGATGGACGCGGTCTTGGAGCCCTTCCCGGCCGACAGGCTGTTCCCCGGATCCAGCTTCCTGGACTTGGGGGATCTGAACGAGTCGGATTTCCTCAACAATGCGGTAAGACGAAGGGTCTGCGTCCCCTTTCCACCACTCCTCACCCCTCTTCGCGGCGCGCCTGACCCCCCCTCCCGGAGGGACGGGACTACACATCACTGGGCAGAAGCGGGGGAGGGGGCTCGGTGCAGGGTCCCCGAGAGACACGTGGTTAGAGCTGTGAGATTTGGGCACTAGATCCCTCCATACCCCCGCTAGACCCCGAACCTGGGCCGGAGCCTCTGAGCTTGCGCTAGTGCGCACCCCTCCTGGGGGCTCCGTCCGTGGATACATTGACCTCGACTTTCTAGGGGGAAGGGGATGTCGGGGAGTCGGGGCCAGCGGATCCCTGAATACGTGCCCGAGGGACACCAGTCCTGCCCCCCCACGCCCCCCACCCGTTTTCCAACGGTTCTCCACCCACCCCCCCCCCGGGGTTCCCGGACCAGATTGGGCGAAAAGTGGCGGCGCCCCTGCCTGCGCCCCCTTTAGGACCTCGATGGCTCAGCGGCTGGTTCTCCGCTGGGGGGCGCACACGGAAGTGTTCGGAAGACCGGGGACCCGAAGCCCCTTGGGGGGCCAGAGTCGTACCCCGGTTCTAAGGCAGTCCTGGTAATTGAGGGGTGCTGCCGCGGCCGTCCCGCGGGGTCAGGCCTGAGATTCCCCAGTGACGGACCTGAGGCTGAGATGGTCAGGGCAGCACAGGGTGATCGGTCAGGAGAAGGGAGATCTTTCTCCCCATCTTTGTGTCTCTAGTTCTGTTTCTCCGTCCTTCGTATCTCCCTTTCTCTGACTCTCTCCCTGTGTCTTCGTGACTATCTCTGTATCTGAGCTTGTGCTTCTCTTTCTCTCTTCCCCTCCCTCCCTAAGGAAACGTGGCTTCTCTTCTTCCCTCCCTTCCTCCCTCTCTCCGGCTCAGCCCTAAAACCCTGCTGGGGGGAGGGGCATGGGCTCCGCAAGGCAAGAAAATATTTGGGTTCAGAAGGGCCTGCTGGGTTGAAATGTGGACAGCTTGGGGAATCTGCTGGGATTCCCCCCACCACCACCACCATGTAGTGAACTGCCCATCTCTCTCTCCCTCTCCCTCCCTCCCTTACACACACACACACACACACACACACACACACACACACACCGTCTGACGGGTCTCTGCTGGCTAGTCTCCACCTCCTGGGACCAGGATAAACTTGGCCAGACAAGAGCCAAATGCACAGAGACTTCCAGGATTGGACATCGTGGACTTTGACTTCAATTGTCCCAGATCTCTAGACTGATGGTGGGGAAACAAGCCAAGGGACAGGAACCTGAGTCCAGGAGGCATGGGGTGTGAGGTCTCCCAGCCCTCCATTAGGGATATCTGGGTCACCCTGCTTTCTGAGGATGGCCCCTGGTCCCAGGGAAAGGGAGCAACACAATTCTGCACATGGGCCAAGTACAGGAGGTGGGGAGGACTTAAGCTGGTAGTGGGGAGAGCAGGGTTCTAGTCCTGCGCCTGCTTCAGCATCCCACTGTGAGCTGTGCCTCTGCTACTTTGTCTGTAAAGTGGGGAGAAGTTGAATCAAGTCTTTCTAAGGATAGTCTGGCACAGATCTTGGGGATCAAGTGGCAGGGAATGGGGGTTCCGTACACCCCTCCTGGAGTTGGTAATGGATACCAGTCAGAGGGAGAGGAGTTTGGAGTTTGTACCGGTGCAGCAGGGGCGGGGGGCAGGGGGGGGTGGTAGAGCTCCCCCACAGCACCATGAGGTGCCCTCAGCAGCTGAATGGGTCTTTCTTCTGAATGAACTCTGCTGCCTACAGCCTCTTCCTGATCCTCCATTCAGCCTTGTGTCCCCAGCTGCTCAGCTGGGCCTTGGTCCAGCGCAGGAAAGGAGGCAGGACCACAGTGGTGTCCAGCACTGGGACTAGGGAGGGAAAGCCCTGCCGGGGAAACTCCTGACCTTGAACCTAGGCAAGGCCAAGCCAGGCAGGGAGAGAGGAAGGTATTTCTAGGAGGATAGACCAAGAACTCCCAGCTAGGAATCTGGAGATTTGGTTCTAGCTGTTGGGCTACCAGCCAGCCGGGCAATTCAGACAAGTGGCTTTTCTTCCTCTGGGCCTTGGTTCCCTCATTTGAAAAATGGAGGTATAGATCCTTCCCCATAGTGATGAGAAAATTAATTAAAAAATCAATGGAGGAAAATGTCTGGCAGGTAAGTTTCTATAGTTAACTTGTTCCAGAAACTAGATGGAGTGGTGGTTAAGAACTACTCAACAACGAGTTGCTGTGTGACCTTGAGCAAGTCACTTTCCTTCTCTGGTGCCTCCGCTTATATGTCCAAGATCCCTTACAGCTGGGACCACATACCAACCCTACCCCGGACTCCCTCTTCATTCTGCATGAGGGTAGGGAAATGTTTCCAAGGTAAGGATGGGAAGGGATGGAGTCTGTGTGTCTCCCAGTCTAGAAGATAGAGAACAGGGTATCCACTCTCCTTCTTAAAAATCCAGATAAAGGCCATAAGATCATGTGGAAAATGTGTGTGTTCTGTTGCCCCATGCAAAAACCAAGAACCCAAAATTCTGATGCTCACCCTGGACACAACTCTGTAAGAAATACATGTTCGTGTGGACAGAGACAGAATGAGTTTGCAGTTCAAGTCAGGTACGTTTGGAGGGTTAGGGACATTTTCTTTTTACCTTCTATGAAGATTCCTTCATGCTGTTCCCAGCTTATCCGTGTGATTCTCGGGGACACCCCTCAGAAGGGGCTGTGCTTCCTGACAGATGTGGGGGACTTCTACTCCCTCTCCATCCCCCATTCCTTCACAGTTCCTGATGGGACCACAGGAGAGCCCTTGTCCCCTGTATCCTGTGATCCTTCAGCACCTGGGCAGGTATGAGAGAGGGACTGGTGCTCAGAAAGCTGGGATAAAGGCCAAGAGGGAGAACAGGTTGTGTCTCCAGACAGAGATACTAGGTCTGTGTGCCTCTTGCCTTCTTCTTCTGGCTAAGGAGAAGGACTGACTCTAGTTTCTCCAGAGAGAAATGGCTTCGGATCCCACAGATGCCCCAGCTGGGAGGGTGTGGGGAGGAGAAGGAGGAAGAGGAGTGCTGTTTTCTCAGAGGGGAGCAGCAGGAAGCTGCAAGGATGTTTACCCAGTACATTCATTCGTTTACCTCCCAGCAGTTGGGGAAGCCAGGTGTGGAAGTGACTAGGACTTAGGGACCAGCCCAGGGGAAGGGAGGTGTGGGGGCTAAGCCAGGCCCAGAGCCTGGCTTCTCCAGAGCTAAATAGGGAAACAGAGAACCGCCACAACCACCACTATCCCAGCCTTGGGGGATTAGGGAGATTAGAGAAGTATGTGCATTTGGGTGTTCCTATGTCTGTGTGTGGGCCTTTAACAGCCCCTAAAAGGGGAGGGGTGTGTGTGTGTGTGTGTGTGTGTGTGTGTGTGTGTGTGTGTGTGTGTTTCTCTTTAAATTTTCACCAACAGGAAAGAAGACCCAAGGGCCAAGGCACTCCGGTCTCAGAGTAGAATCCCCTAGAAAAGGACTAATGGAGAAGCTAAAATCTCAGGGCTACAACTCAGGAAGGGAGATCTCCCCAGACACCTAGTCCTCCTCTAAAACACTGAGTTTGTTTGGGGTGGGGGTCTTTTGTTTTGTTTTTGCTTCCCCCACTGGGATACAAGCTCCTTGAGGGCAGGAGTCTGTCTTGTTCGCTGTGCTATCCCCAGTGCCCAGCACAGTGCTTGGCAAAGAGGAGGCCTCAACCGAGGATGGCTAAATGAAGGAAAGGGGGCCCACCTCAGACCTCATGTATTTTAGGGAGGAGGAACAAGGGTGCTTAAGCCGCCAGCCATCAGGATCCTGCAAGCCATCCTCTGAGGTTCGAGAAGGGATCTCCATGATCCCCAATGAGTTGTCATTGCCTTGAGTCATCCCCATCCTATGGCACAGACCCCTGGGGCCCCTGGACAAGGATAATGTAAATTAGTTGACCCACAGCAGATATGAACTTGTGGCTTAGGCCTCATCTTTGAACATTAGCCCTAGGCCTTCCATCTTCCCCAGTTTTCTCTTGTTCAGACTGCTCTGGGACTCCTGGATCCATACTTACCCAGCTTCAAAGGAAGTCTCTTCTAGTCCTGCCACAGGGCTGTTGCATACGCTGTTTCTGACATCTAGAACACTTCCCCTCCGGTTCTCTCCATCCCGTTCTCTTTAGTCCAGATGCCAACTCTTTGTAGCAGCCTCCTGACCACCTCAAGTGATCCCTGACCCCCTCTCATTTTCTGGTTCAGCCCTTGAGGCCTTCATAACCCTCATCCCAGTGTACAGCTATGTTGCTGGCTTACTGTCCATCTCCTCCACTGAGGAAGCAAGTTCCATGAGAACAGAGACCCTGTCAGTTCTGTTCAAGGCCATAAACCTAGCCCAGTGCTCTGGTACAAAATAGGGGCTTAATATAGTCAAATTCCATCATAAGACAAGAAGCCAAGTCCAAATTTTTCAGTCATGTAAAATGCAGAGTTACGTTATTTCAGGAGCAATGAAAAGCAACGTTCTTCTGTTGGTCTGTACTATCACAAAAAGCCCAAAAGTCAAGATCATGGAACCTGACCACATGCGGCAGACCAAATTGAGAAAGCTCCGGGGGAGCGTGGGACAGTCACTTCTTTACCAACCGGCCTACCCCGAGATGAGGGTTTTGCCCACCATCACTTGAGGTGGACTCCAGGCAGAGGACAGAGCCAAGTTTGGGTTGCCTTGTAGTGGATTTTGCTCCATTTCAAGGATTTACCATGTTTGTAGAGAAAATTACTTCAGACTAGAGCAGTCCCTGGAAGGGAATAGGAGAATGTTTTTTAAAAGACAGGCCTGAGTGTTGCAGAAGTGTATTGCTAATTCCAGAAGGGGCCCTGGAGTTCTCAGGGTCCTGGCCTGGTTAACATGGAAGGTCATTGGGATGCTGGACCCCACCAAAATGCTCCCTGTACCCCAAACTACAATGGGGTCCCTCTGGCTTCCCTGGACCAGCTG